TTATGACTCGTGGATGTCAACTCTCAGAATACCTGAGCCAGCTATGCTGGCTCAGGAATTCTCGGAGTTGAAGTCCACGAGTCATAGAAGAGCCAAGGTTGCCTACCCCTGGTCTAGGTCAAACAAGCAGGAGTTAAATGGAACTTTGGATTTATCCTATTTCTTTTATTTTCCTTTTATGTGGAATTGTATGAGGGATATTTGTTGCAGCAGGAGCTGAACAAGCTCCAAGCGGGCAGTAATACTTGTTCTTTACTCTCAGCACTGAGGGATGTGAAAAAAGCAACAGTGTGAATAAACTGTAGCTTTAATTTAAACTTAGAAAAAGATGTTTTCTGTTATCACTAGGGTACGGGTGTCAAACTCGCAACGTCACGATGTATTGCAACTTTTTTTCCATTGCCGGCAATGGGCTGGGCGCAGTTTTGGCATGACGCATCCAGCCCGTGGGCCAGCAGTTTGACACCCCTGCACTAGGGTGACTAAGGTAAGTAAAAGAAAGAATCTACCTTCATGAAATTTGCTTTAGATTGTAATCAATAGGAATCTATGATTTGAAAAAGACTAAAACAGCTGTAAATTCAGCACATTCTAAAGACAAAATTTATCCCCGGCATCACATTTTCTCAGCATGAGTGACCAAAAAATACAGAGTTCAATTTCCAAAATTCTCAGCAAAATAACAAAAAAATAATTTTTGTCTTAAAAATTTTGGTGATTGAAATTCATAAATGTGACTGATGATCAGGTAGTTGATTTATATATTTATGAAAGTTACTTTTTATCAAACAAAGCTAAAATTTCCTCTTTTATTTACTAATTGATCCTAATATTTTCTTGCAGATGTAGGCACAGTCTGTCACTAGCATGGGCAGTGAGCAACTAAATTTCTCAGGAACTCTTCAGATTCTGTTTGCTGGGTGGTAGAATGTGTACTACAATAAATAAAATACACTGTGTGCTATCAAGATTATATAATTATGTACAGAATGAAAGCAGCTAATTATTGTTAACTGCAATATTTAGGCACAGAAAATACTATTTTCTGCAGTTAACTATGCTATTTCAAAGCAGCAGAAATGCAGATATTTTTACTAATCACATTATTGTTGATGCTTTTACTACTGTTGCTTTTAAAATACATTACAATTATCTCTACAACTGTGCACCACATGTTGATTTCACTGAGAGACAAAAACGTGACAGCAAAAAAAGCCAAATAACAATGTAATGTAAAAAAAAAAATCAAACTTGGCTTTAATGTAAATTCTACATAATATCAAGGACAGCTTTGCCAGTTTGATGAAGGAAACCCATTATTATAGCTTGGATGACATTTTACATATAATGTAACAAACATAAGGCCAAGCCTTTCACTTTCATTCCCAGTTTCTATGGGAGAAAACACAGTTTAATCCTGATACTTTTTTTCTGCAAGCAAAATGAAATACAAGCAGCTGCTTTAGTTCAAGATGCTAAGCCTTTGTTAATTCTTTCCTTATGAACAGAAGGGTTAGTAACTTCTTGAAACTGATAAGGGAAATCTATATAAAATAAACAACAGTGATAATTTCCTCCAACAGAGGAAGGAATTATTAATTTACTTGGGAAAGACAAGAAGCAAATAGGGCCACGTTAGAGCCCATTTTGCCTCATCCAAACCCAACAGTCTTCAGACACTGGGATAGGACGTCCACAGTATCACTCAGGGGCCTGGAGTAGAACTATAAAGCTGGATCACCTCACTCAGTGGCCTCATATAGATGTTAGATAGGAAAGGAGAAGGAACAGAACCCTCCACCACCTCACAAAGTAGGGGCTGCAGCCTGGATCTCTCTCTGCCTATCAACGCCAACTGAAACCAATCCAAGAGGAAGAAAGAATCAGCACAACACAGTGCCACTCACCCCCAACCCCCAGAGCTGGCCCAGAAGGATACCATTATTGATGGTATCAAATACTGCTAAGAGGTCAAGGATGGATGCACTACCCCCATCCTGTTTCCACCAGAGATCATTTATTTGTGCGATCAATGCCTTTTCAGTCCCAAGCACTAGCCTGAACCTCATCTGAAAGAGGTCTAGGTAATCCTCTTCATCCAAAGTCCTCTGCAGCTGCCATGCAACAACTCTCTACACAAACCTCCCTAAGAAAGAAAGATTGGAAACTGAATGAAAACTGTCCAGTTTGGTTGGATCAAGTGATGGTGCTTTGAGAAGGAGTAGCATCACCATCTCTTTAAGAGCTGGTGGGATAACTCTTTCTTTCAAGCAGTTAACTAACACCCAGGCCCAATTCTGCATCCCCTCCTGAACTTTAATAAGCCAAGGAGTGGCTGAACTAGCAGCTGAGAAGGCCTTGTCCAATTCCTCAGGTTCCATGGGCTCAAACTCTTCCAGGCCACCTTGCAACTTCCTAGACAGTTTCCAACAACAAAACCCCATCAACTTCAGAAGCTGGATTTGGTTAAAATGGTTATAAAATTCGGTCCAATGACATCATGCCTCAATTTACAATGATGGAATTTCTGACTCCAGTTGTGGTTGTAAATCAAGGACTACCTGTATGCTAAACATACAGAAATTAAACTTATATAATTTTCTTTATTCACATCAAAAATATTCACTGAATATTTAATATATTCACTGAATATTAGAAATGAGATAAATTACTAACCTTTCAGCTGAAACAGCTATAACAATGTAATGTTATATCTTAAATTAAGGGAAGCCAGCATAAATTAAGTTAGGATTCATTAAAAAAAAGCAGAATATCAAGTGTAATACTGAGTCAAATGTAATTGAGGAACAAATCAATAAATTTGTATATCATATAAAAACAGCTCTTCTTAAGACTATACATGATCAAGCTGCTTACCTTGACAAGAAATTATAGATACTATTACAACTATGAAAACATGAAAAGTTCCTAATTTGGATGATTAACCTGCTGCCATGAAATGCATACTGAGGTTGGATGATTAACCTGCTGCCATGAAATGTATATTGAGTTCCTTTCTCCTTAAAATTATTGGACATTTATAACAATAATAACTTCTTACACTTATTCCAGTCCATGAAACACTTTTATCTTTTATATCATCAAGTTACTAGAGTTGGGACTAGAGTTTGTGGCCACCTAGCCCAGGGCCTTAACCACTACACCAAAGTGACTCTCAATATGGTTTTCTATTACCTATACTTTATGTATGCTAACCCTAATATTAACAATTATTAAGAGCAAGGTAACTGGGTAGTGCAGGAACAAACAATAAAGTCAAAGTAACTTGGTATTGTAGAAAGGCAAGTGAAATCACCTCATTTTTCATCAATACAAACATATGTTTTCTATTCTCTACTCAATAATTAGCAAGGAAACACTGCAATATAATTCTCACTGCCATCTCCTTCATAAAGTAAAAAAACAATAGCAAAACAGTTGAAACACCTTAATACAAATAACAATGAAAAATAACATATTAATATTTAGAGCCATGATTCTGAAAATTCCAAGATGCAAACTTTTATTATGCAAACTTTCCAACCATTGTTTCTCTTCCTTCCCTCTGGTGCTTGGTGAACAACGTGACCCCTCTTCCTTGAGGCAGCCCCTCTGATACTGGAATACTGCTATCATGTCTCCCCTATTTATTCTGAAAAGAAGAAATAGGGGAGACATGATAGCAGTATTCCAGTATCTGAGGGGCTGCCAAAGGAAGAGGGAGCCACATTGTTCACCAGAGCACCAGAGGGAAGGATGAGAAACAATGGTTGGAAACTGATCAAAGAGAGAAGCAACCTGGAATTAAGGAGAAACTTCCTGACAGTGAGGACAATCAACCAATGGAACAGCTTACCCCCAGAAATCATGGGCGCTCCATCACTGGAGATTTTTAAGAAGAGACTAGACATTCACCTGTCTGAGATGGTATAGGTTCTCCTATTTGAGCAGGGGGCTGGACTAGAAGACCTTCAAGGTCCTTTCCCTATTCTATTCTATTCTATTCTATTCTATTCTATTCTATTCTATTCTATTCTATTCTATTCTATTCTATTCTATTCTAAGCAATTTTAAGCTTGTTGTTTTCAAACTATTACATTTCTATTTGCAACATTTCCACAAATTTTGATTCTCTCACATTGTAGTGTTGAAAAACTGTTGATGTGTCATATTCTCTTCAGTTTTCATCTTCTTTGGTATAATTGTTAATCTTTATCCAATCATATTTTTATGACAAGGGATAAGAAATAAAGGATAATTGCCCTTCAAATGAATTTGCTTTTCTGTATAACTCCAATAAAGTGGCAGCTATCCAACCATTTCATCATATGATAAATATTCTTGAGTATTTTTGTCAATATATTCTGCAAGTTATAAATATACCATTCCTATACTGTTTATAGTATCTATGACAATTCAAATTGAATATCTGTTTCAATTACTTATTTAAATATATAGTACAGCATGTTTTAATATATGATGTCATTTCTATTCTGTCTACCCAACAGATTCCAGATGGATTACAAAAGTGCAAAATCAAATAATAAAAATGAATGATTAGAAACTGAATTAAAATTATAATAACAACACCCAATATTAAATAGTAAAAGTAGACGAAAGCCAGGAGAAATAATTTTGAAAGGAGCATGAAACCAAATGATAATTGTTGCTTCCTGTTAGTTAGCATAGAAGCCATCTAAGCTTCAAGGGAAACATGACATAAGACCAAAGTAGCTACAGAAAAGACCTTTTTCTATCTCCTATCTTTCTAAGTTTCAGAGCAGCATTTCTGAGAAGCATCCCTTCCTGATTTGATTGTAGATTTTATTTGGAGCAAATGGGAAAATACTCAACATTTGCTGTCCTTTTTCTTTGCTTCTAAAGGGGCATTTTATTTAATCCAGTTTTCCTCTTTCCCTTGAATCAGCAGAAACAAAGGACTATAGGATTAAAAGGAATCCATCTATGCTTTATTGCTGGCTAATAAAAAAAGGACACTGCATGCCTACTCTAGGTGAGGTCAACCATCAACTGTCAGAAAGCAAAACACTGTGGCACAGTGGTTAGAATACAGTATTGCAGGCAAACTCTGAATGGGCTCAAGGTTATCTTAGCCTTCTATCCTTCTGAGGTCAGTAAAATGAGGATCCAGATTGTTGCAGGTAATATGCTGACATTGTAAAACACCCAGAGAGTGCTGTAAAGCACTATGGAGAGATATATTCATCTTATTGCTATTGCTAAAACACAAGAGTTTTGAGTACCCTGTTTCAGCCTTTGATCAGGTAAAGTTGAATTACACTGATCTTGAAAGATATTGAAGATTTCCAGATATTTCTCGAGAGCTTTCATCCACTCTACTCTTACTAACTAGATTTAGTCCTCGCTGTATAGATCAGTTGCAGTTTACTACTTACTTCAGATGTGTGAATAGTAAAAAGCAGGAAAGCCCATAAGATACCTAGGCAGTTAATAATCTCTTACTGAATTAAACATTTTAGTTATTAATATCTTCTTTAAAGAAATGTATCAACTTTCCAGTTAATGTAGAGTGTATGTGTATTGTTGCTTGTTCGTAGTATCATGAGACAAGTGATATTTTTAGGTGATTTATTGGAGAACGTACAGAGTATTGTCTTAAAAGCATTATCTAAATAAGGAAAGTGTGCAGATTGTGTAATAAATTGTTTCTTTTTGTCACATAGAAAAATGAAAATCCATTCAGGAAAGGTAGCTCTGATATAACATTGAGCTAAGGAACAGATTTGCTGATAGGATATGTGCATTCATGCTATCAGATTTACTTATTTCAGTGCTTATAATGGACACTGGATTTCAGAATGTGTTTAACAGTGCTTGAAATGAGTACATTTAAAACATAAACTAAAGTATAATTCTCAAGATATCAATACGTGAAAACTATTTTTGCAGAACTATTTTTGCAAAAGCAATCTTATCTGGCTAAGGAGAAAAGCGAATAGCATAACAGGAGGATTTATACATTTTGTTGATATTTACCATAAATGTATTTATATTGTTATATTCCACTTTTAAGGGGGTGCGATGGCGCAGTGATGTTGAGCTTGTCAGATGGAAAGTTGACAGCCTGGGTTTGAGACCCAAGTATCACACAACCAGGTAAGCGCCTGTTCCTGCCCCAGTTCCTGCCCACTTAGCAGTTCGAAAGCACGCACATGCAAGTACATTAATAGGTACCACTTCAGTGGGAGGGAAATAGCGTTCTGTATGTCCACATGACCATGGAAATTGTCTTTGGACAATGTTGGCTCCCTCAGCCAAGAAATAGAAAATAGCACCATAATGCACTCATAATACACACATAGATATATACACATAAAAACAAACACATAAGCTAATGCTGCAATAATTTTTTTTGACATAATTTTTTTTCTGCTCTCTTTGGACTCTCTTGTTCACCTTAAAGGAAAATAATTGCTTGTATTAAATAGATGAAAATATCACTTAAATTCTCAGTAATTATATATGGATATCTTATACCTATTTCTGAGGCACTAGATCAGGGTTGTCAAACTTGCAACGTCATGTAATGTGTCGTGATGTATCACAACTTTTTTTCCACTGCTGGCAATGGGGTGGGCGCGGTTTTGCCATGATGCCTCCCGCCCGCAGGCCAGCAGTTTGACACCCCTGCACTAGATTGTCTTGTATTTCATTGCACAATTAATTTTCCAGGGCACTGCAGTCTTTTTTGGTTTTCCATGTTTCAATTTCATCCACAGGGAAGACAGTCTTTAAAACATTTCATCAACTTCTGGGCAGTTTAAATTGACTTTTAAAGCTCCACACAAATTCAACCAGGCTGTTTGCAAAACTTCCTTCTTCCTTACAGATGTGTTTAAAAGCCTAAGGACAGAACAGAGAAATGCTTTTTATCTACTGCCTCCCTGCAACATATACATATACCCACATAGATAACTGGAGATATATTTCATGGAAACATGTAAGTTTTCTGGATGCACATCTTAGGCTAAATTATTCTGCTTTCCTTCTAGTGGCAGGCAAGAGTTTACTCTTCACATAAGCTCTCAACAGTTAAGCTGGTGTTAATTTTTTGTTTTAATTTTAATGCAGAGAAACTATTGGGATAGAGTATTATATGCAGTTCTGGTTGCCACATTGAAAAAGAATATAACAGACCTGTGTAAAAAGTGCAGAAAAAAAATCAAGAGTCAAGAAGTTCAAATACTTTCATTAAAAGCAAAGGTTGTCATATTTGGGATTTTTTTAGGTTGACAAAAAGGAAACGCAACGGGCACATGACTGAGGTATATGAAATAAGGCATGGCATGTAAAAAATGGGTAGGAGGAAGTTTTTCTCTCCCTTCCAGAACCAAATGAAGACCAAATGAAGCTAACTGAAAGGAGTTTTAAAGCAGACAAAAAAGCATGTGAGATGTAAAGTGGTAAGTCACCTTGGGCTTCTCATGTCTTAGCTTTTCATATGCCATCAGCAGACAAGATGTGAATAGAGCTATTATTTCTGAATATTAAGGAATACTCTTTAGTTTTAAAAATTTGGAGTACACTAAATATTGGAATAGAGAGATTTGTAGAGGCTACTAAAAAAGAACTCAGAGACTGAAAAACATGATCTGTTGAAAAGAGCAGCAGATCTAAATAAAATATTATTAAAACAAAATTCTAATCCAGCTATGCACAAGTTAAATCTTTACTACCTGCTATATTTTTGGAACTGTTTTGTTTTATTTTAAAACATATAATCCTTTTAGTTGATGATTATCTTATCTACCCATGAATCAAATAAATATGAATGAAGCAAATAATTACAAATCTTTATGTTGGCTTTATGGGAGAACATTGTATTACAGAGGAAAAACAATGAAAAATTATGTGCTCAATTGTTCTTCATAAAAAAGAATCTCTAAAGTTATGACAACTTAATATGGTTTGAAATAATCAAAGTATTTTTTTTTTGTTTAGCTCTCCTTTTAACTTTATATACAATACTCAAATGTAAATGCATGGTGGCCCAATTTTGATTGGATGCACAAGATGTCTAAACTTTCCCACTTCCAGCCTTTTGTTTACAAAATTCACACACTCACCTACCACGGCATAGTTAAATTCGTTGGTCTATGGCAGTGGTTCTCACCCTGGGTCCACGGACCCCTCAGGGAGCTGCAATGTTGTCACAGGGGATCTGTGAATGCTTGAAGAAGTGTTATTATTTAAATCTTGAGTTAAGTCTTGGTGATCTATGGCCAAGGTCCGTATTTAAAGGGTTTCTCAAAAGCCACAGTGGTACAGTGCTTAGAATGCAGTACTGCAGACTACTGCAGTTGGCAGTTTGAGTCTCACCAACTCAAGGTTGACTCAGCTTTCCATCTTTCCGAGGTCGGTAAAATGAGGACCCAGATTGTGGATAGCAAAATGCTGACTCTGTAAATCAGTTAGAGAGGGTTGTAAGACATTGTGAAGCGGTATACAAGTCTAAGTGCTATTGCTATTGCCATGGAGTTTTTTTTATAAAAGTGGTAAGAAAAGAAAAGTGGTGAGGTTTATTTTTCAGACTTTAGGATATCTTTTGAACTAAGTTGGTGAAAAGAAGAAACTATTAATTTTCTTCAATGGTAGCAGTTACACTAACACAAAGTAAAAAAGATATATAACACATCGTATTCTTTAGATACAAACTTTACTCTGATTTCAAGACTGATGCCAAACATATATTTTAATCCTTTCCATCAAAATTAGAGGTGTTCAGATGTGCACTATGTAGCTTTGTTTGAAATATACTAATGTTTTACAAAATTGTCTATATAAAACACTGACCACAATCCAGATGTTTTTCTTGTTGATGATGGCAGTGAAACTATTGGGATAAATAGTTAAATAAAAAAGGCCTCATGTACTTAAATGAAGACTAAGGTTTTTTTTTAGAACATAGAAAATTAAAGGGATTTTTTAAATGAGAAAAACTAAAAAAATATTATGGTGACATAAGTTTAGAGATGCCTGTTTTATACTTTTTGCTTTATACAGCTGTAAAATGATAAAAAATGAGGACAATAGGTATTTTAAATGGGCCTTTCCTTTAAGTGCATGTCCTGACAATTCTGAACTTTGAACATGGGTTAAAAGAATACAAAAAAGAGGAAAAAGCAAAAAAGTTTTTAAAAAGGGAAATTGCCTTTTAAGATTCAATGCCAACATACTCATATCTCACAGGAAGAGTGTTCTCATTCACAAGCAGAATTTGGATGAGAAATTTCTTACCAGCATTTTAAAGGTGCGATTATGGTGTTGCAACCATTGGATGCAAATTAAAATGTTGGCATATGAGACACTTATTATCACAACAGGCCCTAGCCAGCTGTCATATTTTCAGTTTGTTTTTAATTTTGTTACATTGCTTGTACCCAAATCTTTTTGCAAGTCAGCATGATTTAGTAGAAGACAATCTGATTGTATTTTAAGAGCTCTCATCTGAGTCATTTGTTCCAGATTAAAACAAGCTTTTCCGTTTCCCTCAAAAGCACCAGCTGCATTGATAGCATAGCTATTGCCAATATGCATTTAGACTTCAAGAGAATAATGTCATGAGAAGATGTTTAACTGTGTCTAATGCATTACCTGAGGTAGTCGAACAACTTGCAGGATTAGAGGAAAATCTGTGGGAATAAATCATGCATGGTTTGTATCTGTGCTCTTATTTTTGAAATGCACCTTTGATTAGTAATATTCAACTGAGCATGTTATGTCAGGGAATATAAGAATTAAATGTCTGAGTACCTACAATTACAAGAATCTGAATGTTGGGTTTACTACAATGCTGTAATAAAATCTAGCTTGTCCCCTTGCAGAAAGCATGGGCGTTCTGAGGCCCAAGGGCACTTACCTCTCATTTCCCCAAATCCTCATTTTATAGCCTACCGTAAGTGTTAAAATGATTAACACAGCATCTCTCAATTTTAAGTAGGAAACACATGAAAAGTGAAGTGCAATCCCTAGTAATAAGTGTTATATCATTTTTTTAAAGAAACAAAATCAAACTCCACCCCCCCAAAAAAAAATCTTCAGAAAAGTAAAATTTGGGCACTACCCACATGTATAATGCAAATCCCCTTGTTTTACATTATCCCCTAATTAGGTACAACCTGTAACCAACTAGACAATTTATACTAATTTCCTAAAGACATTTCATAATTTTGTCTTTCTTCTATTGGCATTTCAAATCTACTGAGAAGACTCTTCAACACAAATCCAATAAGAATTTAAAATATTATATAGTGTCACCAGAATTGGTTAGCCAATACACTTAAACAAACAAACAAATAAATAAATAATACTAAAGTCTCTGGAATCTAGATGAAATCAATCATAGTGATAAAGACTTTAGTTGTAAGATAAGTGTTACAGATAGATTTAATTCAATATTTCAGAAATGTAAGAGCTTTGGACACATACTTGGAATGCATGTGGAAACCTACAGGATTCTGAATGAAATGCATTGAGATTCAATTCTGGAATATCACTGGCTAGAGATCAAAAGCATATAATAGTGCAGCATCACAACTGAAGAAACAATGGAAAACATAACATGTGATTTTCCTGTCAGCAATTAAGTCAAGAAATATTGTTAATTTGACATTTTTTGTTTCCCAAATTCCTTGTGAGAGAAACATATTGTTGTCCAAATTTCAAAAACAACCATACTGATAAGGAAAGCAGTCCCTGATACATTTCAGTTGTTAAAAATAATAGGCAGACAAACAACCCTTTTCTTACACACTTCAACCCAAGGTGACTGGACATGTCCATGATATACAATTTAACTACATCAAAAGCTTGTACTGTAAAAGCTGCAAATAGCCCCAAATGCATTTTGAATAGGATTTATATTGCTTTGGAAAGAAATCCATGTAGTGTACATAATTTATCTTATAGAGAATTTCTCCTATAATGAATACATTTTAAGAAAGTAATGAATAACCCATTTCCTATACGGAAGTTAGGGCAGAGGTTTCCTTCAGTTTCTTTCCATTCTTTACATGCCCATTATGTGATACACTTTATCAGTTATATAGGACCATATATCAATATTTTTCTCAATAAACATGCAAAATGTAAACAGCAGATGCACATCTCTAAATATATCAATAAGCTTTTGTTTGTTTGATCTGCCCATTCGCTGTTTCTTCCGGAATGACCTCAAACATTTAGAGATGTGTGAGTCCTTTTCATACTCTACATATGAAGTATGGAGTATTTACAATACAAAACTACTATGCAAATCAAAATGATAATTAGACACTGATCACAAAGGCCTGATATTTAGGATTGAAAACATAGTCAGGATGTGTTGAAAAAAGAGGTAGTATAAATGAAATATGTATTCATATTTTAAATCACTTTTGCTATTACTGTTCTTAATAGAAGGAAAGAATTTTGGGACCATAATCACTAAAGTCTACATTTGAAAGATCAGTAGAAAGCAGACTTATTTATTCAAATATTTAAATCCAGTCTAAAATTTCCTAACTCTGTAACTGATTGCTTTTGAGTTTCAGCCAGATATTTATATGAATGTTTTATCAATGCTAATAGAGAATTCAGAAAAAGAGCAGGTCTATTGCAAATGAGTTTTCTGGCAAATACAAACTTACTAGAAGCACCTAAGTTTCTTTTTTTTATTGAATTTTTTTAAAAATTTTATAAAAAAAATTCCCTTCCCCAGCCCCTCCCAACCCACCCCAGCCCTCCCCCAACCTTCCCAGAGCTGAATACAGGCTTAATTAAAATTTAAAAGAAAAAGTTTTAAACACAAATAAACCATATACAAATTTGATTACAATAATTAAACAAATTATAAAATACTTTAA